AAAAAACCATTATCCTCTGAGCCATTCAATACATGTTCTTCCAGCAACATACACCAAAATAACAACTGCACTGCCCAGTGATTATTGTCATAAAAATAGGGTAAGAAAACTTGCTTTTTCTTTCTACCCATCTCAGATTAGAGGACAGTCATACCACCAGTTTTCCTTGGCTTGAAATGGCTGCCTCTTCCCTCTGCTGAGGAAGACAGAACTATGGAGAACATACTGGGGTATGTGGGAGGTAGAAACAAGAAGAATAAATGCCCTTGCTGCGGACAATGCTGCTGCTGAGTTATTGATGCCCAACAAATGCTTTTGAAGCATGGGCTCTGAGGTAGAACAGACATGGTGAAAGGTGGAAAGGGGAAAGGTGTGCTGAGAAGGTAGGCCTGAGGGAAAAGACCAAAACAAAAGGAGCTGTGGTGTCTCCTCTGCTGAGGAGCTGCTGGACTTCCAGACAGAGTATGATGGCTTAAACAGTAGCAGAAACATTCATTAAAATGACTGGTTTAGAGTTTTGGACAATTAGTCCGATAATTATGCCGCTTATTTATTATAATAGCCTGCATTATAATGGATGCTATGCAAGGGAATTAATGTCTCTAAACTATTTTAGAATTACCCTGAATATGCCATCTTTTTAAATAATAATACAGAATGTCTCCGTAAGATGTTTAAATAAGTTGCAGATTGCTGTGTCAGGGCACCCTGCTATCCAGGCATGCTGACCACTGTTCAAAAGCCATGCTTGCTTCTCATGAAAGTCAAACTTACATTTAGAAAAATATCTCTTGCTATGGGGCTGGGAGCAGGACCCTGAGGCTGCTGTGTGCACTACCAGAGCAGGGATGCTTTTCAGCTCTGTAGCAAGTTTTGTACATCTGTCAAGGCCCTGTAGTGCTTTGCTTCCACCAACAGCAGGGTAATACATTGCCTGCCTCAGCCTTGGCTTGGTTTGTATCCTGACTCTTTGTCAGATAGAGATGGTGCCTTTGCCTACAGGCTGTGGCAGGCCTATTTATGATCTGCTCAGCACAGCCTGTCAGAGGCAGTTAAGATACCTTCACCTAAGCAAATGCTACTTGCTATTTCCTTGTTATAAAACAAAGGTCGTTTGAACTGAAAATACCTCTGTTCCTAGCAGAAGTGGGGGAGAGCTCTATACAATTGTCTGCCAAAGCAGCATAGGAGCCATAAAAGAGGGAAGGGAGCAGAAGCTGGAAGCTAATACAGCTATCACTGAAACACAGATGATGTTGACTGAGTTTGCACGGATAAAACAAGCAGTGTACCTATCCAGCCCTCAGTCCAGGTTTCAGCTGGCTGCTCCAAGGCTCCATGTGAAGCAGTGCAGCTGTGTGACCTTGCCCAATTTCAGTTATTGTCATTAAGATGTGGTCAAGTCCATGAGGTAAATGACATGTCAGACGAGAGAAAGAGATATTCAGCAGGTCCAAGGACTCAAAAGGAGAAATACAGCCTTGACAAAGGTATAAAACTCTGAGGAAAAAAGCAGGGAAGAAGAGGGCAATTTGGCAGTGTCAAGCATCAGCCTGTTCTTATGCAGCAACACAAACGATTTCCCTGCCCACTGTGCTAGAAGGGATGCAGCAGTTCCCTTAGTGGGGTGGTGAATGTGCCCATGTTAGCCTATGCTGGACAGCCAGCAGCAAGGCTGCTTCAGCAATTGCTTCCTTCTCCTACCCTACCGCCCTGAATGCACTGGTTGCATTTTGCAATCTAATTAATTCCAATCTCCAGGTCCTTCTTCATGCTAACATAGCAGAAAGAAAGGAGTGGTCCAGTAGTGGTTGCTACACTGCTCTTTTCAGATACCCGCAGCCTGCATTCAGGGTAGAAATGCCATGCGAACCCTCAGTAGCTTTATAGAGCTGAGGCTACTTTCTGTGGGGATTCAGCTTCATCATGGTGAATGTAAAACCTCTGTGCCCCAGCAAAGACTGGAGCCAGGATCTGTGAATCCTAACTCCAACAGCTATACTAGTAGTCAAGCTATGCTTCCTAGATAGCACTGAGTGATTTGCACTGATTTGCATGGAGCAACCTGGCTCCTGGGCAGCCTTACACCTAAAGCTATGTAATACCTCCATTAACTACCTTTATATCAGGGGCAGGACGGAGTGTACCCTTATGCATGCCTTTTGTGACACTGTACTGTATTTTTAAAGCACAAGATGTTCTGTTCTACAAAGCAGCACCTACTGAACAACACGTACTAGCCAGGTACTTGAAATTATAATGATGGCTAACCTCTAATGGACTGAAAACTGTGTAAACCTGACAAATCCCATAAAATAAAATAATTATGCCTTCTATATCAAGCATTTTTAGAACATGAACAATGTGTGTTCAGGAAGAATAAAGCTACCCTGAAACTACAGTGGAAATAATGACACGTAGTATTCATGGGGCTGTAACAAAATATTGTTTACAGATCTCCACTGGTTGTGAAATTATCTGTACTGAAGAAACTGGATGTACTCTAAAGCAAAGATTGAAGGAGCATAAAACACGTAATATTGTAGTTACAAGGCACATAAAATCTTATTGGATCTGTGATAAATATTTGTGCCTGAGCAATTTTGCTATTTTACAAACTACTTTCCCTGGAGGATGGTTAAAGAATACAAGGACAACCTATTTATCAGATTTAAAGTCTGGCAGCTCCCAATACCTATGATGAGGGTGTAATATACCTGTTCTCAAAAGTGTCCAATTAATTGTTTAGTTTTGAATTGAAAATATTCTTTCTCTTTTTTTCTATTAAAGCTGTTTTCAATAGATGTATCATCTCCTGGGTTGCATAAATAAAGGCAGAAGATGTCCCTAAAGGAATACTGTTTTGGAATTGAAACCATATATTAAACTCCCTATGGGGGATGAGGTGCCCACAGTGCAGAGTTTAATAGAAGAACTGCATTCAGCTGCTGTACAATGCTTGGAATTTGTCTGTGGGACTTGGAAGAGACTGAGCTGCACATCTAAAAAAAAATGCAAATGCAGTCATGTATTTTGTAAGAATTGTGGAAGGGGAAGGAGGGCATTTGAAGATGAAGATAAGACCGCCTGGGTGGCAATTAAATATTTTCTCCAATCTTCTATTTTAAATCCCATAAGGATCTCACACAGACAAATATTTTTTTTCTTTTAACTTGGCCTTTTATACATTTACACCAGTAATTTCTTAGGTATTTGTATCCCTTATGGATTGTTTCTGGGTGTAACCTTTTCCCCCTTCAGAAAAAGTCCCCACCTTTCTTCATGTATGGAAGGAATTTAAAATATTAAAACTAAAACAAATCCTCTCTGCAGATTACCTTCTCTTTTCCTACATCGCTTTTTGTTCAAATCTCAAGCTTGCTCCTAGCTCAAGTCTTCAAAGGAAGAGTTTATCTTCACCTTTTCCTAACAGCATCTTGCCTGTCAACTTCCTTTTTATTCACTAACCAGCGTGGAGGTTTATCCCTTGTTCTTGAAAACAAGTATTTCGATCATTCCTCACAGAGGTACTTGCTAATTACCAGGTCAAATAGCCACAGGATGTGGTTTGGTGTTCGCATTGAGTCAAGAGTGTGTTTTCTGAAGAATTGATTTCAAGGAGAAAGCAGAAGAGGCTGCCAAGTCACTACATCTGATCTACCACAATTATACTGGGGAGGGCTAAAACCTCTGAGCCTGGTGCAAACCTCTGTGCTGCTGAATGGCTAGCTGAGAGTATGTAAGAAAACAGAAAAATTATTTTAAATGGTGTCCATCACTGTGCAGCAGCAGTGCAGATTTGGTGTAGGGCTTGTGCTGTGTCATACAATAAGATGTCAGTATTGCCTTCCTGAACAAAAGAAATTTTCTATCCACCATTTGGGGAGTGAGGGGTGATATTTTAAGGAACTGACATATCTGCATGGTTTCATGTTTGATCATGAATAGAACAGCACCATTTGAGGGAAGGTGTTTTTGTCTCAGAAGCAAAGTCTCAGTGTAATGGTCAGCATCAAATACCTACAAAAATGGGGGCAGTGGGAAGAGGTAGGCTGCTATGGATGACTTGCAGAGCAGTTCCATATGATGTATTTGTATGTTGCCACCTGTACACTATTGCTTGCACTCCTGGAGCTGTTTTGAGGGTTATAGAAGAATATTTTTTATAATGGAGTAAGTCCCACCACATGTATGTTCTGCCTCTCATAATTCTGAAACTAGACAACGTAGCAAGCAGAGTTGAGTAGTCTGGCCCTAACCAAAATGATCAAAAGCAGACAGTTTTGACTAGGTTGCTTTTCAGAGTCATTGATGGGCACGGTCCTACTGAGGCAGTTTTACCCATCTGCTGCAGTCAGATGATTTGGACGGTGAACGTTTGGAGAGTTAAATACCAGGGCAGAAAGCTCAGTGCCACATAGCTGTAAATAACTTCATGGTATTCCACATCCTTAAACATCTTTAACTGGATGATCACTTTCTATTAGTTATCCGGCTGGAACTGAGATTAAATTAAAGTCTTGCAACCTACTGGGACAGCTCTCACAAATACATGAGTTTACAAACAATTTGGCCATCGGGCCACTCTAGGTAGCTCACAGAGGCAGAGAGACAAAGTCAATTATCAGCCCTCTCACCCATTTAATTTCTAGAATGGTGACTTAAATAGACAAACAAAGGTGTCTTTAGGTAAAACTGAAAGTCTGGGTTGAATGATCAGATTGAATGATTGGCACATGGCGTGGGTTTTATTTTTGTTTTGTGCATCATAGTCCTGAGCCAAAATTGGATATTTATTATTTCTTTGCTTGTATTGACACACTACTGGGGAAAGCCCTTGCCTCTAGCTGCTCCAGACAGACATTTAAACCAACAATTCTGCTGCTATCTTCATAGAGAGGAAAAAAAAGTAGCTAGAAAGATAAACAGGAGATGTCTAAACACATCCAACAACAGTCATCAATCTATCTTTCCTATTCTCTAGTAGCCCGAGGAAAGAGCAATGGCATTTTACATCATGTCCTGAAAGTCATCAGTCCATAACCACTAAGAAGTGATGCAAAATGCTGGTAATCCCTGCCCAGCAAGCAATCTGAGTCCATGCGGAAAGCTCCTGAAAAACAACACCTGTGTAAGAAAGAAATTCCTTCCTACATCTTGGTTATCAGGAGCAGAAAGCAGGTTGGTATCACTTCTCCAAGGTTTAACTTGTGCTTATATCTGTGTTTTCTCATATGTCTGTATTTCTTGCAGAGAACAGTATCAAAATCTGAATTCCCCATATTGCAAAGTTTATTAATTCCATTCTTTTTTTTAAAGGTGGGAAATATTAAGGTGTAAGCTCAAAGGAAAAAGTAATTTTTCAGTTTAAATGCATTCTTTGAGTCAAAATCAGACTGCTAGACCCAACTTTCATCTGAATAAAATGGTTTTTTTGTCAGCCTAACTGCTTCCTTAATGTATTTGATGCAAGGTTTTCTGTGCATTGACTTCAGCAAGACCAGGTTGTGTTTTTATGGTTTGCTTTTTTAATCTGTAGTGAGCAGATGGACGTGTATCAATCCATTCTTCAGCTATTAAAGTCAACATTCTGAATAAGTTGGTACAGTAACAGAGAAACAAAGGCTAGACCCTTGGTCTGCACCTGAGCTCCAGTGCAGTCAGTAAAGCAATGCAGATTGCTGCTGGGTGGGGGGTTGATACCTACCCTTTAAGCTGTCAAAACCTAAAGTTTAAATGCAGGAGGGAAGGACAAGGCTTCTTGGTCTTCTTGGCTTTTTGGCTTCTCTTGCTCAACTAGCATCTCTAGGACATCACTGGGGACTAGTCCTGCCAGGTATTTGAACACTTGAAGAGAGGGCTGTTTACCGTTTTTCCAATACTGTCTGCAAAGCAGGGGAGGTGTCTGCCAAAAACGCAGAGAAACCTGGGTTCCATCTGAAGATGGCCAACTGCTGGGACAATGCTCTTGCTCACTGTGTGTGCAACTCCTGCAAGTATTGCCCTCCTGTGTGTTTGAGCACAGGACTCCTCCTGTAGACAGGAGGTCACCCATGCAAGCATTCTTCAGGACATCTGGGCAAGCCAGAGTGAAAGCATGGGGTCCAGCATGCCAAGAGGGGCACATTTGTTCAATGCAGAAGGTCATCAAGATGCCATGGAGTTGGGAAAAGCCGCTGTTCAGCAGGGCATTACTGAAGACACAACATAACTGTTTCCCTCCCCCAGGCTTTCAGGCAAAATGCCCCCTAGGGTTTCAACTTCTTGCTGAGATGGTCACAGAGGCTCATCAGAGTTATACAGCCTTTTTGATGCTAAACTAAACCAGACTAAACTAAGCTTAACTTAGCTTGGCTAAACTTTCATTGCTTTTTCTGCTCGTGATGTTTCCTAAAGCTTTTATTGAAGGGAAGAGCAAACATGAAAACGTTCATGTACAGTAAACTATCTGACTGTGACTATTGCTATCATGATACCACACGTAGGTCATCATTTTGTTTTGTTAGCACTTTTCTGGGAAATTGCTTTGATGAGTTTAACTGTTAAAGAAAAGCTGATGGGAGATCTTGTCCTGAGCATTGGTCTTTCCTGGACAGAGGAAAAGAGTTATATGGGAACGTAGCAAGAAAACACACTGGAAGCAAAAGACTGAGATTTGTTCCCTGTAGGATACTATATGATCTTTCCATCTGTAAGCATTAAGCAGAATATGAGTGTTTTCCTTAGTGCCTTGCAAAATAAAAGAGGGATGTTTTCATCCATGCTACCAATAAGAATAAGGGAAGGGATGATTAGAGACACCAGTTTTTGAGAACACCTACAACAAGCATGCTGGGAAGACAGAAAACCTGTCACAAAGTCTCATGTAAGAGAGACAAGCCATGCTTAATCAAAGCTGACACAAAATCAAGACTTTTCAAGGCCATACCTGCAGTAAAAGATAAGTATTCAGACACTGTCAGTCTCTGCAAACATCTCCTGGTGCCACCAGGTAAAAAAAAATCCCCGTCAGTAATACGTGATTTTTATTTTACTGTATATGTCACCAAAAAAGCCTTTCTCAAAACCCGGCTGCAGAAATTTCTGAGGTAGTGCTTTGATTCCACAATACCATCTCCAAGGAAAAACCACATGGAGGTGGGTAGCCAGGGAGAAACAAGGTTAAGAAGTGGAGTCACAGAAAAAGACTGGGATACCAAAGCACAATTCAGTAAGACAGACAAGGTCAAATTTCATCCTTTTTTCTAAAACAGATGTTCACCCCAATAGATTTCCACAGCACTGCAAAAAAAGTAACCAAGAAAATAATTTGTCCACAGTCCTGAATTATTTTGAGGATGAAGGCAGGTCTTAGTGTCTAGAGAGGAAACAGGCAACTCATCTGGAGACTGAACACAGTAAATACAAGCAGTGGTAGGCTTTTTGGGGCAGAGGTAAAATGACTTCTAGAAATCTTTATTCTTTTTGGTCAAGTTGCTTCCAAAGACACATCCTGAGTGCTTTGGTACTCCTCATTGCTATGTTAAAATCAACACATTGCCAAAATGCCAGTTTTGGCACAATAAAGTACACATATTGTTCAAAATGCTTATTTTTAAATACTCTATTAAATGTTTGTTTCACATGCCACATGTGGGGTAACAGGAGAGGGCTCCATTGTTTTTAAAAACAAATAAATAGACCAAAAGAATCCCTTTTGGCTATGAAAAGAACAGTTTGTGAGACTGTTATAAATGCAACTATGTTTTAGCTCCAAGCTCCCAGACTCATTACTTAGTGTTTTCTCCAAACTTTTGTTTGGCCAGTGCTGCTTTAGCCAAACTGTCTGTTGGCCACCACCTCTTTCATGACGTGGTGAGGTCAGTGTCTTCAGTCGTGACTTCACATGCCTGTAGGATTATGCAGTTTAAGTATATAACCACAATGGCTAGTTTTCAAACCTGCTGGATATTATATGCCTCAAGGAGGGCATGTGTGTTTGTACTTACCCTTTTTCCCTGGGGGTTTCAAGGAAATGCTTCCACCCTACTAAGGGGTACAGTGTAAGTGGTTGCCTCCTAAAACAGTGTCCTGGCTCAATGTCAACCTTGACACCTTACCTGTTAACTGAAGACTTGGGTTGTTGATCCTTCCACTGGCTGCCCACTGCTTCTTCTGTCTTTACTACCTGGCAACCTTGTCCTGACAGCTTCACCTTGGATGGTTATGTACGCTGCTTTTCACAGCTGGTACACCTTGTCACAGTGCCCCACAACAGTGATTGCTGTTGTCTTGTCTTTCCCTAATATTTCCTAATATTTCACCAGCCATTGCTATTTGGAGGCATTTCTCTGAGTTTTCATCTGCCTTTCCCAACAGTTCCTTTTGTAATATTAGAGCTTTCCTGCTCACAAACAATTCCTTCTCTCATTAGAGAATTGTTAAATTTTTGAAAGCTATGTGCAAAAGACAGACTTCTCAGCAATATAACAGAAGAAATTAGTATCTGATTCTTCTCTTGCTTGTTTACTGTCTTATTTTCCAGAGAAACTGTCTGCTGTCTTCTGCTGCCTTGGGTCTCAGTTACGGAATGGCCTGTTGGCAACATATTTTGCAACTGCTAAATAAAAAAAAAAAAGTGCAAACCTGTTTTGGATTTTGTCTCTAAAAAAAAAAAAAATAAAAAATGAGTTCTTTTCCAGTCCTTACGTGCACTGTTAATTCTGCAGAATTGGATGGTACAGTGAAGGTGTCAGAATCTGGTTGAATATTGGCCACATGTACCTGAGAGTGATAACACCTCAGTCACTGTGCTTCTAAAAGTCTCTTTGGTTTTAATAGCTCTCTGACCAGATTCTCAAAGTGATCTTGTTTTTTGAAAACTAGAGTTGATAGGTTTTGATTCTGGAAGCAGCACACTTAAGTGCAAAAGCACCTGGTGCTTTTTATACTCCTTCCGAAGCATTACTTCCTTTCTTTCAAAGTATTTGTTTCTCAAAAGGAAATTAAAGATTGTATAATGTGTAGTTTGTGTGATTCACAAACATTTGCATTTTCCAATTATTTCTGCAAAAGCCTGAGATGCTGGATACATGGATGTGTTGAGGAACATTCAGTTAGCTTCTTTTCTAATATTCAGGTGTTAGGTCTCTCATATCATATGTTGCTTGTAAAAAGAGGCATTTTGGTGGCCTCAGACCATCCTTTGAGAAAACAGATCTCTTTCCAGTTCATGAGATGGAACAGGAAAGTTGGTCATTTCTTTGCACACACAGGATTCTGCGATGCACAGTGTCTGCCTTTGGCTTAATTTTAGAGCCAGCATTTCAGGAAGATTTAACATTCGGTTGGGTTTGGGGTTTTTTTAACATCAATAATTGGAAATAGTTATACTTCAGAAAGTTGATTGTGCCATTTTACTCCTCCAGGCCAGATTGTCTATCTGCCTTCATGTTCTGAAAACAATATATGATCAAAGGAATTTCAAAAATAATGCAGAAATTTATTACATGCTTGCTTTTTAACAATGGTTTCTAAATACAATTTAGAAATACAATATAGAATAAACATTTATAAATAGCAATGCCTCTGCTAATGGGAGGTATTGTTCCATTACTGCCTGCCCAAGAGGAGATCTATAGACTCATAAAAAAAGTCTAGTTTTGGGCTAGATGTTCTTTCTGCCTTACCCACCTTTTTCTACAGAAAAAGTTGTGCCCGCATGCTGCCACAACAATAGGTTGGGGAAATATTATTTCTATTCCTCTGGTAAGGAAAATTTTACAACATGAAGTATGTATTGGTGATTTCTGCCATACAGCAGTTCTTGGCATGAAAGTCTTCATTGCTAGATTATATCCTTTGCTAGTCTTTAACTTGACCTAACACTGTTCATACGTGGCTTTCTAAGCTGTGATTGAGTTATTAAACAACTCTGAGTGCCACTTTTAGTTGTCTCCATTCATAAACTTGCACCTATATCCCACACCACGTGCAGTAGTATGAACTTGTCTGTAGACTCGCAGTAAAACGCCGTAGGGTCTTCCCTGGAGCCTGGTAAGCTGCTTATTGCCTTTGTTTTTGTAATGTACCTTTGAAACAGGAGTACAAGGTCTGTGATCCATAATCTAGCCCTCAGTTGGCTTCTAGACTTCCTCCCCACCCCCAACAGAGAGCTTGTTGAAGCCACAGACTGTCAGACTCAATTATTTGCACGGCATCTTAATAGGACTTGCAGTTTTCCTGAAAAAAAAATAAGAGCACACCACCAACAAAAAATGCCACTAGGGTCAATTGTCCTTTCTTTAAAATTGGTTTTATGGAATTCATCTCTCCCTGAGAGATTTGAGGCACTCCTGGAATTACTGCATAATCAACTCATGTCTTCTCTGGGGACTACACTACTATGAAATCAAATAATGTTGTAATCTCGATGTGAAAACCAACTTCAGTCAGCACCTTTGATCTCAAAGGTTTGAGAGTTGTCACTGAAAGAATTACTTTGAGCCTGATAGTCTTCCAATCAAATTGCAGCAAGTATTGACTATGATCTCTCCCAAACCTGCAAACCAAGCAAGAAGGAGCCTGGGCAGGTCTTAATGAGAGGCTGCCAAAAAAAGACTCTCATCACATGAGAGAGATATTTTAGGAACTCTTGCTTTCCTCAAGGGTTTTCCATAGTTGTAGCACTGCAGTGTGGTTTAGTAAGTGAAGATCTAAAGGGATTACCATTTGCACTGCTGAATGTAACTATGGTCCAGATCTTTTGTGCCCTACAGCTGTCCTGTGGCCTTATTAGAGAAGTTAAGTGGTAACTTTTCACTCAAAAGAAGATTGTGTGAAATGGGCTTTCATCAGAAGGGCCTTATTCTTGTTTCCCTATTTTTTGGTAACAAATTTTACAGCAAAACAAGATAGGGGGAAATGCACTTTTTTTATTGCTTTGGTCAGTCTTTTCTGTTTTCACTTTCATTTTTCATTGGTAACAAAGAAGGCTGTTTTCACTGGTATTTTTTAAGAAGAAAACAATTCCTATGAAAAATAATTGGTGTTTTTCAACTGTCTACATATGAGAGTCCTATAAACTCTAATCCTGCAGCTGAGGCTATGAGCAAAGCTGTGTTGAAATCAATGGAGCATAGCACGATTGGCAGCAAGAATGATTATAAGATCAGTGGCCAATTAGGCAAAAAGACAGCTCAAGACTCTTATGATAGTGAGAACTAAAGCATTGTCTGCTTAGGTAAGAGAGATAAATCACTGAGAAGGAATCCACATGGCTTTGTAGAAAGGCACCAAATACCGGTTCTAAAATATTGTAGCAGATCTGCTGGAAAAACAAAAATGTTTTTTTGACAACGTTTTGCAGTAGTTTCTTAAATTAATATATCTAGAGAACAGAAAGACACCACAGCTTTTTGTATTCACGTTAATATTGGGGTGAGAAAAATATTTGGTTTTCATCTCCACCAGTTTTACTGCATGCTGTAATTGCATCTTGGGCTGTATCAAGGGACACATTCAGCCTGCCTTGCCAACTCGCTTCCACTGAAGTTATGAGAAGCTTTATTTGATTATTATACTAGACATAGGAGAACATTTTCATACAATGCCTGTGTTTCAGCCACACTTCCTTTTAAGTATTCCTTTGCAAGTGGTTAATGATAATTATAATTTGATAATTTCTTCATGATTATATTTTCCTGTGAAAAGAAAGGCTAGGCAGTCACGCAACTCATCTATGCTCCCTTGCTCTCCAAAATTTCTGAACCTTTTTGACCCCTCTTAAGCATATCTCACACATGGCAGAATTCTCCAAGCTTTTAATTTTCTACAGTGTCTGTGGAAGGAGGCAATTGGTCTCACTGGGAATGGCTAAATGAAGGTGATTTGAGGATGAGCCGACAGTTCATCAATCATCAGGGCCACGGCACAGGAGAAAGCCATTAGAAACAACCTGGATATAAGAAAAGCGCCAGTTGCAGCTTTTTGGTGCTTTCTTGAGTACCAAACCAGACTGTTCTCAGATGCAGAAGCATTAGACCAGGCTTCAGCAACTTCCTGCCCATGGACATTATAGTAAATGCTTACAGCATGGAATCCACAGGAAACTGTTGCAGTGGGGTTTGGGGCTCTCTTGGGCTACAAGAGAAAGAGCAAATACTTTCCATGCACAGAAAAAAAAAAGAAAAAAAAAAGACATCAAGTTCTGAAGCTTAGAAATTTATCAGTAATTCATTAAAGGAACTCTAAGTGTTATTAGCTCTGAAGAAGTCACGATCTACTCACAGATAGTCTGCAAGTACAAAGAGATGAAATGCACCAGAGAGTTTATCTGTTGTATGGGAATCACTTTGTTCTAGTCATTATTTTTTCTATATAATTTTTTTCTCTATAATTCACTTTGCCTTTCATATTGTTTCTTTCTTTTAAAGATCATTTCATATTTGCCTTTTATTTTCTCATTTAATTATGTGCATAAAAAATATAATACTGAAATGTTTAAACAACTCATTAAGACCTGTTTCTAATCCTCCATCTGGGACAAAAATTGCTGCTGGTGTTCAACAGCTCAGCATACTGTAGCTTTATCAATCTTCTAAAAATCTTGTAAATCACTTCTGTGGGCTGTTTCCAGTTTCTTGTAAACCAAATGAATCACAAACTGGATCTCTCAAGAGACTGTCCAGGCACTTTAACTGTCTGTACAGCTTCTGTCTTCATCCACTCCAGTGGTACAAGCCTTTACTCCATAATCACTGCTACACATACAGCCTGGAGTTTCACTAAATTACTGGAAGGTGAGAGTAAGGCTTTCAAAGACAGCATTTTCATGCCTATAAATTTTATTGGTGTCATCTTGTTCGCGAGATATATGCAGGTCTCCTACAATATCTGTGACATCCATATCCTGCCTTATAATCATACTGGGCCACAACCATCACAATGATTAAAGAGATTACTTTTTTTTTAACTCGTATGGTGAGATTAGAGAAGTTCAGTTCAATGAGAGAAGAATGATGAAGAAGCACAGTTATATATCATGATCAGTTTCAGAAGGAGGCCTTTAAGGGAGTCCTCCCCATGCCTCTGAGGTCTCAAGGAGCAGCATTTTCAAGTTTTAAGGGAGAGTGGGCACCTGCCTCCTACCCTCCTTCTGGGAGAGCTTAGGACTGGGTTCTGCTTTTAAAGCAGATCTTGCCCTGAAAAAAAGCCTGCAGCAAGACCGCAAACCCCACCAGACAGACCAGACACAGCCACAAGGTGGCAAGGGATGGTGGCACTGGGAGGGGCAGTGGCTGCATGCCACAGTGGGATGGGGAATCCAGCCCAGTGGGAGGCTCCAGGACAAGGTACCTTTCTCCATTCCCTTGCACCTATCAGCCACCTGGGCCCCTCTCACCTAAGTCATGCTGTAGCTTTACTGCTGAGTCACAACATTGTTTTTGCTGTTCCTGTTTCTACCCACTCTCCTGCCCCTACACTGATTCTCCTCTTCAGTGTGCCCATTTGATTTTAAACAGTGGTTTTGATTGCATCATTTGATTATAACAAGTCTCCATTGTTGTTGTAGTGAGGACAATAATAGCCTCTGTGTATCTTCTACCTATAATTATTAAAACAGGATCTGGGACTGACTCTGACTCCATAAAGAGAGCAGGGTGGGTGTGAAGGGGCACAACTGCAGGGACAGAACTGGGTCTTCTGGAAGTCCCAGTTACCTCCAGTGAGCCCATGGTTCTGCTGTGTCCCTTCCTCTGAAATTGAGGCTTGAATACACAAGTGATTACTGTGAGTCTCCTGGTCTGCTGCCACACTGAAACTGCTCATGAGGATAAGCTTTTGACTCAAAAATCAGTCAGTTTAAGTTTTGTACATACCATAGCTTACAGATGCAAAATGGATCACTACAGTATTTGTGGTTTACTTGGAGAAGAAAATGGGGAGAGTATTTGTGATAGCACCTGTCTAACTTCAAGGTTACCAGAGCACCAAAGACATGTCTTGAAGCTCAGAGAGGAAATTCTGAATCAGAGATGTCAACTTGTCCTTAATGTGTCCTGGTTTTCCCAGGCACAGTATGTCTCCCATTAATGTGTGGCTGATGGAACAGATGGCCTGCAATGCTTGAGCAGGGACATGGGTTACAGGGAGCCTGCAAGATTTTGTCTTTCACTTAAAACTGTTAGCATGGTTTTAAAGGGTAGTGAGTCTTTGTAATAGTGCCATGTCCTAAACTGCTGGGCAAAGGGTACCCACTACTATGAGGTCTTACCACTCTGGAAAACACTGTAGCTCTCATAAATAGAGACACAATGAGCCATTATCTGTTTTTTCTAAAGGCTGCAGCAGATGAGGATAGCTGAAAACACAAATCAGAGTGCCTACTTCTTGATACTCCTGCCTTAGTTTTGTCTTCTGTGGATCTGGACTGGTAACAGCTTCCTGCCTACCGGGGATGCTGCAAAGATTATTACACACTTACCAGATTATGAGGTAATTATAAGCATTATTTTTATTCTAAGTATCACTTTTTAAACCATAATGCCCCTGGGAAGAATTTAAGTGGCTCCCTACCTACTGTCTTATGCTTACATTCACTTTTAAGGTAAATCATCTTTATCATCTCATCCTTGTCCCTAATGTTACCAGGTAGATTACATACGTGGTTTTCAAAAGCAACTTTCTGAGTCCTGTTGTCAACTACAGCAGAGGGAAGGAATTTAGAAGGGAAGAGGGAGACCCTTCTCCACTTCCCCCATCCATCCATTTTTTCCCAGTTTCCCAGGTAGTTTTTCTGCCTAAACTCTATTACATCCCCCGCACATAAAGAGTAGGCTGTGTTTTGCATACTTCTGCTAATGAGGATAGCAGAAATACTTAAAGCTATCCCCAGAGCCGTGGAAACAGGATCTGAGCAGCAGCTGTTCTTGAAGGCTCAGCGCTCTCCCTTTCCTGCTGGTTAAAAACTCGAGAGCAGTTTCCTCTGCCCATGCGCCTGCTGGTAGCGGGCAAGCTTCTCTCTCATCACCAGAAATGTTTCAGCAAACCTCCCTTTGAATTTAAAAGAAGGTGGTTTAATGTGTGCTTTTAATTTTGGCAGTGAGGCCAAGTTTGGACTCTGTGATGATTTTCAGACGCTCAAATGGATTGCCCAGTAGAGGGAGCAAAGGGAGCACTGTGGACGCTGTACACTTTCAGAAGCTCGCAGAAAGTATTCCCCCGTGCAAGCCATCCTTAAGTGCTTCTCCCCAGTCCAGAGGGTGGGTCAGTGTGGGTTAGTGTGCCACTGAGCCAAGCAGAAACAACGACCAGGAGAAAAACGGCCTTTGGACAGCCAGGTCTTGAGTGGATGTTACCAGTGCAGACAGACAGACAGAGCATAAGCTGCTGGTGTCCAGGGTTTAAAAATATCTTCTTAATACTTGTTTATTTAAATCCCATACAATAATTTATTTAAATAATATATAAAAATTTTGATCCATTATTTCAATTAATTATAATGTAATTAATATGTGTAAGATAATACCATGTCTTTATTACTATAATAATTAATATAAATAGAATTTAATAATAATAATTACCCTTGGACAAATTTGGAGTTGATTCCGATAGACGGCACACAGTTTTCCCTCAAGAGTGGGCAAGGCTTCACGAGCAGCTAGAGCATGCTTAATTCTGATACTAAGGACAATTTCCACCCTGTTGGATTTAGTTCTGCATATTGGCCTAGGGAGATGCTGTACCAAGGCCTCAGTGGGGTGGCAACTGAAAGCTTTTTTGCTGGGAGGTTGGGCTTGCTCACTAGATGTGGGATCGGCACCAAGAGCCCGCACTGCTCACGCTACAATAGACAAGCAGAAAGTTGGAACAGAAATAAAAATCTCAGTGTTGGAAGACAACACGTCGATTTTCTGGTTACAATTAGTTGCACACCTGCCTTTCACCAGCTTAGTGATGACTGTCTAAATCCATGTAGTGTTTATTCTCTGATTAGTTTGTGAAATGTTAAAAAAGCCACTAGGTACATATTCAGAATATTACTTCACCTGTTTACTAAACAGGAAAACTAAAGATAGGATGAGATTTTCCTTTAAAGTAGTCTGGCCATCAACACAAATACCCTCCTTTTACAGGAATGCCAAAATCATTAGCGCTATTGTATTTAGGTGAATTAGTGCTATTGTATTGTATTAGTGCTATTGTAATCAGGCTATTGTATTTGGTGATCTGACTTCAACATGATTTTCTTTGTTTTTTTTTAAACTTTAGGCAACTGGCTAAACAAAGGCCACGCTTCTACCTAAAAGTGTATGCCACAGTGAACTGAAAATTTATAGCATATCTTATTAAAACATATTGATAAGCCAAATATTTTTTGCCTCTGTATCATTTTCATGGTTTTAATTTAAAGAAATAATTTTTACTGGAAAGAAAATTCAGGCCAAAATTTTAGACTTTCATTTATTTGAAGTAGCAAGGAAGGAATGCTTTTTAAAAGAAGTTTTTCAAGGAGTCTCCTTTTTGCTGAGTGACAGAAAAAAAAGAAAATGTACAATTAAGAATCATACCAATAACAAATATGGAACAAAAATTTAAAACTTACCATTATGTTGAAGTATCTGTGGTTTAGTCTCCAGGGAACAGGTTCTGCTCTGCCTTGCTCCTCTCTAATTTCAGAGTGATTTGTTTGTTACTAATTTGTCTTATTTCAGCCTAAATACGTATACAAGGTGCAAAGCGGTGGACCAGAATAATTAATGAAGAGCATATAGGGAAGCTAGCCTGTGTTTCTATTTGTGTCCAACAACAATAGTCCAGGAGCATTTCATACCAGAGGCATGCTTCTAAGCGAGTTACACAGGCTGAATCAACTTTTGAAATCAATAGGAACAGAGCACAGAAAAAAAAATCCATGCTATTTCAATTCCAACAATTACTGGAGAGTTAACCAGCCTCTCAAAAAAACGTTATCAGGACTGACACATTTCCAAAGTGTATTCTGATTTTAGCTGAGCCTTATCTTCTGACAGAGAAATGTTTTGTTGGATATATTCCAGCTTCTTCTTCACGTTATTAGTTTTTTTAATTCTTGCCTTTTCTTTTTAATACAACAATTTTTTTTTTGCGCACTGTGGTAATTGGAACAGAAGTAAGAGTGTCTTATTCTTCTGGCAGTCCTATTCCCTTCAGTGGCTTTCTTTTAAGTAACAAGCCATCGCAGCAGTGAGAACTAAAAGGCTACACAGAGGCACATCAGGTGGCTCTGATGATTGAGTGGCGGTTAACAACGGGTAGCTTATTGTGACGGCTCGACTGCCACCATTACACCGAGACTGAAAGCGAATACACGCGTGCATTTAGAATTCCTTAAAGGTGTATTTTATTTGATCCGTAAGGGATCACTTCAGCTCTTACAAAAGTATCTGGCAGAAAATACCTTTGTTCCCATGAATGGGAGAGGGTTTGCTTTTTGGTTTTCTGTCTCTCCTGGTGCTTTTATTTGCAGCCATTTCAAGTCGGAGTTGTTGCAAGTCTGATATTGAGTGAGACACTTGTGTGAACACCCTTGGCTTCTTCAGTGATGGTGTTTTTTACATGTTTAAAAGCTCCATGGATCTACCACGTAGAAAATGAACAGTTATTAATAACAGTCTGAGATATAAACAAAACAAAAAAAAAATTATGCTAGCATTCAGAGCACCAGCCATTAGCTCAGCCCAGAGTCTGAAGATGTGTGATGGTCTTTCAGAAACTTTTCTTTCTCTGTGCATACCCAATATGCACAGGGTATTATGCAGGGCATGTCACGTTACATGCACAGTGGAGGCCCCTATCCTTATCATTCACAGGAGCTGGCTATTTTTCTTGTGCTGCACGTGTTTTGCTGCTATGGAGTCTAAGTCGTGTCTGGTGCCCCAGATGCAGCAGATGAAAGCCATGGAGTTTTGCAACAGGGAGTTTTGCTTCATGCAAAACACAAGCTAGACAGCTAATCAAGCATCATCAGGCTCCCCACTCACTTCAGGAGATGTTTCGCCTTTAGCACAAATCAGCACTGTTGCGTGGAGTGTAATGGCAGATATTTGCTATCTGTACAATTAGAAAACCCTTGGGACCATGAGAACGGCTTTGTGAAAATGCAATTGCAAGCCTTCTTCTTTGCTATGCGACTGCTGGGTGCTTCCTACTGTACTATAACACACAGCAAAAATGCGTATGCTGAAATGAACTGAAGGTCCAAATGACGTGGAGTTCCTTAGTGATGAGAACTGGCTCATGGAACCTACACACTAAGCACTGGAAACAGCTTGAATCTTCAAAGTCCAAAACAAACAAATAAACAAACAACAAGAACCAAAACAACAACAGCAACAACAACAAAAACATAAAAGAAGCCACTGAGGGTAGGAAAAAGATTGCATGGTTTAATCTTAGGCTGACACTGAGGTGTTTGCACACAAATTCTTTGCATAAGGCCAGAAAAAAAGTAAGGAAATTGCAGGGAGCAGGGAGAAAGCAATGCAGCCGAGGGAAAAAGATGTAAAAGCTCAGTTTCCTTATATATTCCTTTTGGAATCTTGGGAGCAAGGTCTCATACACATGTGCATGCATACATACTCTGCAGTGGCAGAAGTAGAGGAGAGCCCAGGAAGCAAGAACTACCATGGCTCCTCTGCATACTCATCTCTCCCAGGGAAAACCCCTTGGTCCTGGTGCTCCATGAGAGAAACAGCCCCTGAGGCACTGCTAAGACCAAAGCTCATGGCTCCATTCTCTGTGAGCTGATACACTTCTTTCTTGTTAAGCACAAAAAGGTTCAAAGCCATGGTTTCAAGCTTGACCGTGACCCCCTATGAAAACAGGTCAGGCAACTAATTCACCATGTAAAACATTCTTTTTTCCCCCCTCTCTTATCTCATTCTAAATCTATTTTAACTTTATGGGGAGATTAGATACCAACACGCACGTGTGTGATGCCTTGTGTCATGGACTCAATGAATCCCTCATTTTACTCCCTTCCATTTCATCCAAGCTCCATAAAATGCCCAGGAAGCATTACTTTAACAGTGTGATGACAGTTTAATCAGATTAAGACTGCAGCAGAAGGGGGAGTATTGGAATTGGAGGCAGTTGTGGGTTAGAGTCAGGATGTTTGCAGCTCAGCCTTTTTCCAGTCTACCTAAGTAAGGGCAGCTTGGGTGCAGCTGCTGATACTTGCATCTGGTTTTCCCCACAGGTATGATGTCCCATTCAAGGTCTAGTGGCTGATCTATATGATAGGGTTACAGTAACTGTAATTTCTTTCTTTGATTTCCACTTCTGAAGCTTATGATACTAAGGTTTGTGCTCAGCATTATCTGACTGAGCAGTGAAGGATAATAATGCAGGTACAGCCATAATCCTAGTCTCAGTAAAATCCACAGCAAAACTCTCACTGACTCAAAGAAAGGCAAGCTTCCACTGTCAGGTTCCCAGGAAAAAAAATAGGAAGCCTTAAACTGGGAAGGCTCTAGAAGATTTATTTTGGTATGAACAAAGTGCCTTTCCCCATAAAGTCCATGGCTATTAAACTTGGACTTGCATCCTTTCTTGTGAGAGACATACACTGTAGCTGTTTTACAGCTCTATAGAGTATAATGGACAGAAATTAAACTGGTTGCTATAAGTAATATCAGGGAGTAAAGTTTAGGCTCTTTGACTCCCACATTTTCACACATCTCAGATTTTAATAGTTGTTTTCCAGCACTGTTTTATGTATGAAAGCGCACTGGTTCCCAGTGTGCACAATCAGAATTCCCAGGTGGGGGACATTTTATAGACCTTTTCACAATGTCTTATTAACAAAGGCTAGTTTTCAGCTGGTGATCTATTTTAATAAAACATGCACATGATTATTCTATGGTTTATTTACTATTTGCTATTATTTGGTTAATGTATTTGTTTTGCAGTATTCTCCATTCTTTTGTAGTTTTTTCCTAGCGTTCTGATATATGCATATATCAAGGTTTTTTTGAAATCTGAAGAAAAATCACTGAGATAATAACACCTTTTTGTCTCATGTCACCATCTGCTGCGTCATCTCTGCAACACAAATCATCATTATTGCTATGTACTATCTTCTAGAACAGATCTTGGATAAAATCTTGCTCTACTCTTGCATTACCAAGGAAATATGATACAGAGAAACTCTTTCTTATCTTCAGTATTTCTGGTCTTCTACATTTAGGTTCCCTTTTATCTTAGTGTCGGCATGCCTGACCTTTGATGCAAATATTCTCAGTGTACCAGCATCAGGCAGAGAAGTGCTATGCATCCTATATTCCAGATGGAGAGCTAAGACTTGCCTAAGGTCACACTGGACTGCTTGTGGAAGATTAAGGACTTAACTCCAAGTCTTTCACACACCAGCA